CAAGGTGGTATAGTATTTGTGACCAGCAATCTTAGCTAATATGTCTTCTATGCGAGGTAAAGGGTAATGGTCCGGAATGGTGACATCGTTTAGCGGGCGGAAATCGAGACAAACCCGTAGGGATCCGTCCTTCTTCTTGACTAGAACCGTATTATGAACCCACGGCGTATCACTCTCTACAATACGACCAGCGCGAAGTAGCTTGTTAATGTGTTCATCAAGCTCCTTTTGAAATTTGACTGGGATCCGAGGGGGCCGAAAACGAGTAGGTGGAGAGTTGGTTGTAGTTTTGATGACAATTTCTGAGTCGTCGTAGGATCCTAGGTCGTATGAATCAGTGGAGATTCTGTCGCGGAACTCATAAAAGAGAGCGGCCAATTGCTCTCGTTGATCGTCAGTCACCTCAGCCTGAGAGAGGTCTACTATACGAGGAGAAATATCGTGGATAGTGGACGGCGAAGGTATCACTTTCCCTATAAATGGGCGATGTTGATCGGACCAAGTGGTGCACAAGGTAGAAGAGCAACGATAAAGGGGGACTGCTGAAGAGATGTGCTGGCCCTTATACAATGCCTCAGGTTTGGATGATGGGTTGGCGACTAGTATAGAGGCACGACCCGTATTGATTACTGCTGGGGTTACCATAAGAGATTTATCAAATAGGCGGTCGTCTTGTGTTGTAAGCATAAGAGGAGCATCATGGTCACCGTCCGTGAAACAAGGAACAAAAGCCTCGGAAGAGGGAGGAAGGATGGTGGTTTCCGCCACACGGACGGCCACTGGGTCGTCTTGTGAGGATTCAATATCATTAGTGGATGCGCACAAAATTTTGACAAGGTCACCAGCCATCGAGAAAGTTCTGTTACCGTAATCGATGGTCCATGGGGGAAGCTTACGCAATAGATCATTGCCAAGGATTATGTTGTATACCTCGACCTCGCCTGGTATACAAGCAGACTCTGTGAAATAAACAGGGTGCTCAAAAGATGATGAGCCAATTTGGAAAGCAAGAGATGCACATCCAAGAAGGGTTACTGGAGTTCCAGCCATACCAACGGCACTACTTATATCGCTTCGGAACAGTTTGAAAACACCGAAAAGGGGTGCTGTAGAGGTCGAAGTTATCGTGATAGAAGCTCCCGTATCAACTAAGGCGAGAACCTGGATACCGTTCACCTTAATGGGAATCTGAGCAACAAAGAAACGGTCTCGGTCTGATAAGTACAAAACATTAACGGAGCTTATAGAAGCACGAGGGGGCCAAGAGGAAGTAGCGTCAATTTTCACCTGAGCTAAGTTCGTACAATTAAGATTAGGACGAGCTACAACAGAAGGTGGAAGTGCAATAGCTCTCTGTAAGACTGAAGGCGCCTCTGGGGTGGGTACCCCACGGGCGCGCATGAACTGTTCTCGAAAAGCGGGCAAAGCGCCCGGGTAATAAATATTACAGTAGAGTATAATAGCAGTTCTGAGTAGGCCAAAGGAGACGCAGAGTGAACAAAGGGAGACCCAAATATCGAATGCAGACCATGAACCCCAAAGAGAAGGAAATAGGGAGAATGTAGAAGAGAGGGAACTATGAGTGGCAGTGGAGGATGATATAGAAGTAGCGACTGAAGAGGCTTTTAAAAGGTAGTCTGGCGATACTGAAGACCACAACTCAGTCCATTGATGGTCTTGTACTAATTCACTGAGATTTGTGAGAACGAGATTATGAAAAATGGTGAGAGGAAGGGCGACAACCGATTCATTAAATGTTGAAGGAACTGCTATTTGGCGAACCTGAGAGGGAGGTACCGCCTGGATATCGCCCGAAATAGAATCAAATCTATAGTATGCTTGAGCATTATTGAAATAAAAAGGCGAAATGTTCGAGCAATCAATTGGAGTTGCATCATGCGAAAGGACCAAAGTAGATGGATCAATAAAAGAAGTGATCAAAGCGCCACGTGGTAGAGAAAGTTCGACCAGAGGCTTCGAAAAACAGGAAGAGTTAAACGGAATAAGACGGACACTCTGAGACGGTACAGGCATGCAACGATGTATTTGAACTAAATCGTTGCCCACGGAAGTGGCGGCAATATCGTTTCGGCCCAAAAGATTGCGGACCGTAAGCGTAGGGTTTGTTGACAACGATGTGTGAAGAGCAAATGCGAGGAGGTTCGTACGATCGCAAATAGCAGATAAGGCGTGGTGAAATAATGCCGAAACGGCGGAGTGAACCGAACCCTCAACAGCTAAAAGTTGAGCCGCCAGCTGATTTGATGTGATCAGCCCAGTATCGGGGGCTGCGGAGCGAGGGACTCGAGTAACAGGTGTAATAGCATATCCCTGGTCTGTCAGGATGAGTGGAGCCCCGCAGTCTTGGATCCGAGTACTAGAGTCACGCCAGGACAAGGCGAACTCTTTGGAGTCACTTATCCACACCTCGCCTAATTGGCGGCCTTTCATTTTCATTACTGGGATAAAGCGACAAAGCTCCCTTTTGTTAGGAGTCCACCACAGCATGGATCCGTCTTTCAGTAAGCAGTGGCCTGCCTCATAGGAGCATTTAGCAAGATTACCCACTGGAGAATCGGGTACCTCGGAACCATGCCGCATGTGTACCGTAGTTGGTATTAGGAGGCAATTGGATACTGTAACTGTCTTCTGTACACAACAGCCAAATGGGGCAGACGGCCAGTCAATGGCCAGAGTATTAGATGACGACCATATGTTATCTGCTTGGGACATATCACCATATTCGCAACGATGGTGTTGCGTCATAAGTTGACAGGTTTCGAGGGAAACTACAGAATACGTTTCGGTGTGATTTTCGAACCGATACCCAAAGAAATTGACAGAAAAGGTCACTGTACGAGTGATAATCTTACAAAGAAAAGCAGGCGTATCATAACGTACGGTATTGGGACGATAAACATGTAATGGAAGAGGAAGAGGAGTACCATCGACTTTAGGCAAGATATGAGAGCAATTATATGACAAAGGAATTCGTGCGATGGTATCAGCTGAATCCCTTGGACAAAGCCAAGCTGAGGTGGGTACAGCACCCACGACAGTGCAGCACAAGAGCATGCAAATAGGCAAGATAAACTTCACGTGAGGAGATGAAGGCGAAGCAAATGAAGAAGGGTGACCAAAAGTTGAATTTGCCAGTTCCTCATTACGTTTAACTAAAGCATTAATTCTGGCATCAGACTGTTGCAATGCAGATTCATTATCACGCAACGAGAGAGTCAGTGCTTTAATTTGTTCACGCGCCTGTGATAGTTCGAAATCAACTCTACGGCGCGAGTCAGAGTAAGGACGAGAGTAAGAAGAGCGAGGAGGACTTGAGAAAGAACGCTCACGGGAATAACTACGTTGAGAAGGCGTACCTGTATTCTGCCGAGAATAACGTGGAGAAGAGCAGTAGCGTGAATAGTGTCCTTTTCCTCCGCAGTTATAACAAGAGGGAGACGTTGCTCGTTGCGAAGTTCGCGGAATATCTCTGCCAGGACTTCTCTGAAAATTATTGTTAGAGTTACGGTTGGAATTAAAGCGAGAAGAAAATTGCCTCGATCTATTGGGCCCGTTTCGAAGCGGAGATGCGGCCTTAACTTCTATGGGTTGGTGCGGGAAAGATGGTCGAATTAGCCGATCCGCAGTAGCTTCGGCTAAGAGTTGTTCTACCATCTGGGCCTTGGCTACTGCTTGTTCAAAAGTGCTCGGGTTGTCCAACTTTACATAATAACGAATGTCCGGGCGCAACCGGGCTACGAACTCTTCTAGGGTGCGTTCCTTTTGGCTCGATGGATCTTGGCCCGCTGTCGCAGCGCGAACTAAAAGGAGCAAGCGGTTGGCAAAGGTAGAGGTGGATTCGCCAACTTGTTGCTGGCAGCTCGCCAACGATTGCCTAGCAAGGTTACGGTGTTGTGGGCCCTCGAAGGATCGTTTAAGGTGGGCCACTAAGGCATCATAATCGTCGCGCTCCTCTTCGGATAATTCTTCGACCTTCTCCCTAGCGACCCCATCCAGGTTACCTATCAGG